AAAAGTGGTCAGAGTGGACATCTTTGTTTTGTTCCTGATATTAGGGGAAAAGTCACCAGTTTTTCCCCAGTGAGTATACTGTTCACTGTGAGTTTTTCATATATGTCCTTTTTTATGTTGATGTTTGTTCCCTCTAAACCTATTTTGTTGAGGGTTTTTAATCACGAATGGATGTTATACTTTGTCACATGCTTTTTTCTGCATCTACTGAAATAATCATATGATTTTTATCCCTTCTCTTGTTGATATGATGTATCACATTTATTGGTTTGCAAATATTGAACTGTTCTTGCATATTAAGAACAAATTCTACTTGATTGCGGTGAATGAAATTTTAAATGTATTTTTGGATTCAAATTTGTTAATATTTTGTTGATTATTTTTGCATCTATTTTCATCAGAGATATTGGCCTGTAGTTCATTTTTTTGTAGTTTCTTGATCTGGCTTTGGTATCGGTGTATTGCTAGCCTCATAGAATAAATTTGGAAGCTTTCCCTACTCTTCCATTTTTTTGAATAGCTTGAGAAGAATAGATATTAACTCTTCTTTAAATGTTTGGTAGAATTCACCTGTAAAGCCATCTGGACCTGGACTTTTGTTTGTTGGGAGTTTTTTGATTATTGATTCAATTTCATCACTGATAATCAGTCTGTTCAAATTTTTTTTCTTCCAGATTCAGTTTTAGGAGGTTATGTTTCTAGGAATTTCTCCATCTCTTCTAGATTGTCTAATTTGTTGGCATGTAATTTTTCATACTATTCCCTTATAATCCTTTACATTTCTGTGGTGTTTGTTGCTATTTATTCTTTTTCATTTCTGATCTTGAGTCCTTTCTCTCTCTCTCTCTCTCTCTCTCTCTCTCTGTCTGACCCTGGCTAAAGATTTATCAATGTTGTTGATCTTTTCAAAGAACCAGCTCCTGGTTTCACTGATCTATTCTATGGGTTTTGTTTGGTTAGTTGGTTGGGTTTTTCTTTTTTTTGTTTGTTTTGGTTTCTATTCCATTTGTTTCTCTTCTAATCTTTATTATTTCCTTCCTTCTACTGCTTTGGGTTTTGTTTGTTCTTTCTTGCTTGTTTTGGTAATTTTTTGTTGTTGTTGTTGTTCTTCGTTTGGTTCTTCTTTAAATATAAGTTTAGTTTGAGATTTTTCTTGCTTCTTGAGGTAGGCCTGTATTGTATAAATTTCTGTCTTAAAACATCTTTTGCTGTCTCCCAAAGGTTTTGGACCACTGTGTTTTTATTTCCATTTGTCTTCATGTATTTATTTACTTTGTCCTTGATTTATTGCCCATTCACTGTTTATTAGCATGCTATTTAACATACATGCATTTGTGTTCTTTCTCGATTTTTCTTGTGGTTGACTTCTAGTTTCATAGTATTGTGATTGGAAAAGATGCATGGTATAACTTCAATCTTTTTTAATTTGAGACTTCTCTTGTGGACTAACACAATCTATTCTGGGGAATGTTTCATGTGTACTTTAAAGGAATGGGTATTCTGCTATTTTAGGATGGGGTGTTCTGAATATATCTGTTAGATCCATCCAGGTCAACATAGCATTCAAAGCCATTCTCTCCTTGTTGATTTTGTTTGGATGATCTGTCCACTGAAATAAGTGGAGTGTTGAAGTCCCCTACTATTATTGTATTACTACTGATTACTTCATGTTTGTTAATAGCTGTTTTATTTGGGTGCTCTCACACTGAGTGCATAAATATTTATAATTGTTGTCTTCTTTCGGATTGTCCCCTTTATTATTATACATGTCTTTGTCTCTTGTTACAGCCTTTGTTTTAAAGTCTATTTTGTGATTTACATACCGATGTCTCCACAATATTGTTTGCTAATCTTTAAATAAAGCCCTGATCCGTGTGCATTTGTGATTATATGTGTACTCATTCTCTTACCTGAACTGACCAGAGCTTTCCCGAGTGGGGTTTCTAAAGGAGCGTGTACAAAGTCGGCCTGCAAACAGTCAGGTCTGGGTGGTGCATTTGCTTCCTGTTTGTGCCAATGTATCAATGTAGAGTTGCTCTGTTCTCTTCAACTGTATTTATTGCTGTGTTTCTCAGCATAAACTTATCCCATTGTATTTTTTATACATAAATATTTTTTTGAATGTTAAAAAAATAAATAAATAAAGTCTATTTTGTTTGCTATAAGTATTGCTACCATGGCATTCTTTTTGCTTCCATTTGCATGATAAGTAGTCTTCCATCCTTCATTTTCAATCCGCATGTCTCTTTAGGTCTGAAATGAGTCTCCTATAGGCAGCATATAGATGGGTCTTGCTTTTTTATCTATTCTGACACACTATGTCTTTTGAGTGGAATGTTTAGTCCATTTACATTCAAATTAAATGTTGATAGATATGTCCTTATTGATATTTGTTACTTGTTTTATGATTGTTTTATAGTTCTGTTCCTTTCTTGTCTTGCTCTCCTCTCATAGTTTGTTAGCTTTCTTTAGTGATATACTTAGATTCCTTAATTTTTTGCATATTTATTACCAGTTTTTTGTTTTGTTGCTACCATTACGTTTATGTAACAATCTATATTAAGTTGATAGTCACAAGTTTAATTCATCTTAAAAGCACTAAATATTTATTCCTGTCCTCTCCACATTTTTCCTACATAGTGTCATACTTTACATACTTTGGGTTTTTTTTTTTTACTTTTTTTTTTTACATACTTTGATTTTATAAATCCTTTTATTTTTATAGATAAACTTAATTTTACTGCTTTTATCCATCCTACCTTTCTTACTCTTGCTTATGGTCTTTCTTTTGCACTCAAAAAAAACCCTTTAACATTTCTTACAAGGCTGGTTTAGTGGTGGTGAATTCCTTTTACTTTTGTTTGCCTGGGAAACTCTTTATCACTCCCTCTACTCTGAATGATAGCCATGCTGAATAAAATATTCTTGATTGCAGGGTTTTTTTCTTTCCATACTTTGTATATAACATACCACTCTCTTCTAGCCTGCAATGTTTCTGCTGAAAAATCAGCTCATAGTCTTATGTAACTGTTTTCTCTTGCTGTTTTTAAAATTCTCTCTTTATCATTACTTTTTGCCATTTTAAATACAATGTTCTTGGTGTGCTTCCTGGGGTTTATTTTGCTGGGGACTCTCTGTGCCTCCTGGATCTCTGTTTCCTTCCCCAGACTTGGGAAGCTGTCAGCTATTATTTCCACAAATAAATTTTCTGTCTCTTTTCTCTCTTTTCTCCTCTGGGATCCCTATAATGTGAATGTTATTACATTTGATGGTGCTGCTGAGTTTTTCTTGCTCCTGTTCAGTTTCTGTGGGGCACATTGTTAGCAAGCTAGCTAGAGTGTTCACACTCTGCTGTTTCCTATATGTGTTTGTATATCTAGGCTGAGGGGTGGGTAGGAAATAGAGACTTCCAGCTCTTTTGTTCTTAGAGAAGTCTCCCAAAGATCCTTGCCCCTCCTGCACAATCTCTGAGATTAGTAAACAAATCTCTCTCCCATACCTCAAGTGTTTGTCAAACTGCCACTTCTATGTTGTATCATTGGAGCTGTTTATTATGCTGTCTCTTTAAGGGTAAGAACTCAGTTTTTTATCACCCTTAGGCTCTCCCAGAGCCAAGCTGATAATTTTTAAAGTTGGGGTGTTAAGCTCCACTGACTGTAAAAACTCACAATGCGCCAAAACAAAACATTTTAAAAACTCATGGTGTTAAGCCCCTCTAGTTTCCAGAGACAATGAATTTTTTCAATACAGTATAGTACTATGAATGTATTTTCTCTTCTTTATGATTTTCTTAACAGTTTTTCTCTAGCTCGCTTTCTTGTAAGAATTCAGTACATAATACATATGTACATTAACACCTATTTGTTATGTGTATTTATGCCTTAGGCTATTAGTAGTTAAGTTTTGGTGGAGTCAAAAAGTTATACATGGATTTTTGACTGCATGAGGCTGGCGCTCCTAGCCCCTGGGTTGTTCAAGAGTCAACTGTGTGTGTGTGTGCGTGTGTGCATGTGTGTAAAATGCTTGTGCTCCTGAGTCCTCACAGTTCTAAAAATGAGGAAAGAAATACTGCTCTCTTACTCTGCATCTCTATCCCAGCCACAAGACAACATTCTTGACCTCAAGGGCTCCCAATGAGACCACTGCCACGTTGGGTTAACTGACCATTCAGTCCCCTCCATGAACCAGAACTCCTTACAGGAAGGGACTACCTCTATTTCCTTTTCCCTCACCTACTAGCAGCATCCTTCTGAGACAATGGAGCTTTCTGAGCATGGAATCTGAAGATCAGCTGCTTCGGTGAGCTTTATCATCCCAACACCTACTAACTCTGTGAACTTAGACAAGTTATTTAATCTATCTGGGTCTCAGTTTATCTGTAAAAGGGGGACAATAATGGTACTACCCTTTTTAAGTTTATTAGATGACTAAATTAGTTAATTCCTATTAAGTACTTAGAACCTGAAAAGTCCAAATTCATGATGGAGACTCAAATGTGGGAAGATCTGCAATCTTTAATTCATCTATCACCAAAAACACACAAAGAAAATCCTTTAAATATGCTTTTCTATTCCATATTTTAATATCATCAATTTATCTGACTAAAATTAACATGATTTCTGGATGATATTCATTCATCCACTAGAAATCGGGACAAGTGAAAATAGGATGGAAGAGGCAAAGACCCTGGTAAGAACTAATCAAATACATCCTTAGATAATACTGAAGAAAATACTTGGTAGTTTAAAGTGAAAACAAATTCCTCTCTTTTCTTTTCATTAACAAAAGGTTTCCATTTCTCCAAATTTGGTCGCCCTAGAAATCAAGATTACATTGGATTCTGTAAGCAAGTCAGAAATTATGTCTAGGATCCACACTGCCAATGGACTACGGCTGCAGTAATCATTTGCCAGCTTGCAATAAGGCTTTAAAAGAGAACTCTTTAAAACTTAAATCATGGCTTTAGTTTGAAAACCTATATAGATGATGTAAGGCTTCACCTGTAGACTCCAGGCATCCTCCTGTTGTATAGCATTAACTGGCTTCTTCAGGAACAATGGGTTTCCTTCACAGTAGAATTCCTTCAGCTTCAGATTCTGAAACTTTCAAAACAAAATAAAAACTTCCTTGTATGATAAATAACAAACTTCACTTTTGAGGTTGTATCCTACTTTACTTAGGACTTACAGTCCGTGTTCGTATTTTAACAGTATGACATATTCTAATTTTAGAAGCATAAGAGTCTTCATGCTGGCATGAAAGGCAATGATCTTAGAGGTCCCCAGAGGTCAACTGAAAACTTGTTCAAGATAATAGGACTGATTAGTAATAGCATAATTAGTCAATTAAAAGCTGGGAACATTTTGCAAATAATGTATTTGTTAGAAAACCAAGTATGATGAAAAATAATATTCTAATGTATACCAAAATCCAGTTTCAAAGACTACAAACCATGATCCATCTATGCTCAGTGCAAAAGGTAAGAGAGACAAAGGAAAATCAAAATGAAGAAAAAAGAAAAAAAGAAAATCAAAATGTTTTCACTATAACCTGTTACGCACAGTGAAAATTTTTAAAAAAGAGAATATAATTCACAAGGATATTGAATCTTCTATGAAGAACCAAAATTCAATTGTCTACCATTTGAGTCTACCATTTTAATAGAAAAATAAAGGATTCTCTTATATCAATAAATATTGTGCCTTGCCTCCCAAGAACTCATGTGTGAACTCAAAGTTAAATTCATTTAGAAAATTACTTTTCTGAGCCTCAGATTCAGGTGAAAGAAAAAAGACCTCTATCTGCAGTGGTATGCTAGTAATGCAGTTCTCTGAGAAAAAAAAAAAAAAAGTAAAGCCCTGAATTGTGGAATGTTTTGATTCATTCCTGTAAATACTCTTATCATGGCTGATTCCAGTCACCAAAAAGAGAGTTGGGAAGAGAGGTGGAAAATTGGTTCTTGTGAGCCAGGATGAGCTGGCATCATTACACTTATGGGAGAATTTGAGATATTTTCCTGATTACAGCTTAGAGTTTGAAACACAGCAAGCATTCAACAAATTAAAATAATTGATAAAATATCTTTCCAGGGCATCATGTCACTAGGTCTTAAAAGTCTCAGGAAATTTTTACAACATAGATAGCATTTTGAAATAAAATACAGAGCTCAAGGCCATGCTGGAATCACCTTGTCTTCTAGTTCCACAACAGACATTCTGATTTTGCTAATGCAGTTTCCTATGTTGTCCACCATCAGGAAGCAACCTAGAGAGCTGAATCCAAGGGTAGCTCTTAGTCAGTGCTGGGCATGCTGAAATGAAGAAAGCACTCCCTGTGCTTAAGGGAACTCTCATTTTTTTCCCTTTCTGTCTTAAAGAATAACACTCCCTAATTTATATAACTCATAGACTTCTTTCAAAACAGATAAAAACTTGAATATCTTGCTATATGTAAATATCATTAAAATAAATGAACATGGGATCCCTGGGTGGCGCAGTGGTTTGGCGCCTGCCTTTGGCCCAGGGCGCGATCCTGGAGACCCGGGATCGAATCCCACATCGGGCTCCCAGTGCATGGAGCCTTCTTCTCCCTCTGCTTGTGTCTCTGCCTATCTCTCTCTCTCTCTCTCTCTTTCTCTCTCTCTCATGTGACTATCATAAATAAATAAAAAAATTTAAAAAAAGCTTTAAAAAAAAAAAAACTCCCAAGGGTCAATGGACAGAATTCTGGATCTCTGTGAACTTGGGGGAGAAAAAAATTAAAAAAATAAAATAAAACAAATAAATAAATAAATAAAATATATGAACATAATTTCAAATTTGACCACAGTTCAAAGGGCATGCGTTTCTATTCTCTTCAAACCCTGTCACTACGCTTCCATCATACATGGTAATGAGTTACTCAGTTTACTAACTTAATACACAAAATATTTCAGAAAGAAGTCATCTTCAAGAGAAGAAATTAATGAAATTCACTAGTATGCCCTCTGCAGCAGATAAGTTTCAATAACCTGAAGTCACACAATCTCTCAATGTCCATTTTGAATATTCCCCAGAACATTTTTCATACCCTCTCTCTGTGTGCACTATTGGGTTTCTGGTCAGCCTCACTTCTTAACAGAACAATATTTTTGGCCGTTGTCACTCTCGTAGCACAATCAGTTATATTCTCTTCTATTTAATAAGATGCTGTTACATCTTTTCAGAGTCTCTTTGCTCATGCCTACTCAAACAACAAGAGTTATGAGTTTTATCTCAACTGGAACAATTTTGCCCCTCCCCCATAACAGAGATTTACAGACATTTTTGGTTGTCGTAACTGGGGAAAGGGGAGTATTACTGGCATATAAGTAGTAAAGAGCAGGGATGCTGCTAAACATCCTACGATGTACAGGACAGTCCCCACAAAGAATTATCAGGCCCAAAATAGTGTTGAAGTTGGAAAACCCTGATTTAGAGGTGAAAAAAAATGATAAACATTCACTAATCTGTCGTAACTGGAGAGGGATTGGCAGCCGCAGAGAAATGAAGGTTCAAATAAGGGTTTTTATTTTTTTTTTTAAGATGAAGATCACTTGAGCATGTAGAAGGCAAGTGCCAACAGAGAGAGATTAGAGAAAAGGATGATTGAAATAATAATGATCATGTGAACACAGAATGATCTTTGAATACTAACACCTTTGAATTATTTCCTCCTCTGTGGCCAGAAGAAGTGTAAGTGCAGGCAGGGATACATTTCAAGGTATGGGCTTGGATCATTGATGGAGTCAGACATGTTCCCTTCAATTTTGTCTCTAAAATCGAGAGTAAGACCATCTGTTAACTGAGTTGTGAAACGAGGTGTCACTGTGAAAGGAGACATGAAGAAGGTGGTGAAAGTCTGGAATGTGCTACAGATTTTTGAAGAGAAACCTGGCCAGGGACAAGCAAAAATATTATACAGAGGTGCCGAGGGACTTACTGGAATCCCACATTTGTGGTGGGCTCTGTCTATGAATTTCTTCTATTTAGCACCCAGCAACCCAAATCCAACACTAAGAGTATGCAGAATGAATATAGCAGAAAGCAAGGGAATGGGTGCACCGTACATACTAAAAAGTAAATGCTTTGTGCTTTATGGTCTAGACTAGACAGAAAAAGAAATAATAATACAATGTTTTGGTGGACCAGGAGTAAAAGAAATAAGGTGATATGAAGTTTCAGTGACACAAAAGAAAAAAAAAAGATATGACTGTAAAGCAATAGGGAACTGGAAAATAGGAGTAACCAGTGCTCAAACTGTAATACCGGACTTTAATTCTTCCAGTTTAGAGTAGGTGAAAATGATGGTAAGATCCGGACATGAGTGTGCAGGCAATTTGGTAAAGTGAAGCCTGGGAAAGCTCATTAAAATCAAAGATTCGAGGAACTTTGTGCTGAAGTTGTTTGCACTGACCACCTTTACAAATGAACTTCCTGAGTAATGCCCTCAAATATTTGGCTACCTGTGGAACATCTCCAGCTGGAGGTCCCCCAATCACCATAAATTCCAGCATTTGAAACTAAACTCATGTTTCCTCCACATTTTCCTCCTTCCTTTTTCTCATCACCCACATCAAATACCCCTCCATGTTGTTTCAGTTCTACCTTCTTAAAACTTCTGGAATCTATCCTTTCTCTTTTTTTTTTTAAGATTTATTTATTTATTTGTTTGTTTATTTGTTTGTTTGACTGAGAGAGGGAGAGAAAGAACATGAGTGAGAGGAGAGGGAGAGAAAGTTAAGCAGGCTCCATGCTCAGCACAGAGCCCAATACAGGGCTCAATCTCACAACCAAGACCATGATCTGAGCCAAAACCAGGAGTGGACACTCACAACTGACTGCACCCCCCACACACCCCTGGAATCCATCCTTTATTTACACCCCATTCTCCCACCCACCTCCTCACTACCTCTGCAGAATCTCTTCCTACTCCTAACCCCAGCCACTAACCCTTGCTGCATGGATTAAGGCCCTCACCTGATATGAATTATTGCAATAGTACTCAAAGTAGTCTCTCTGCAAGCGTTTGCTGCCAAAGTTATCTTTTAAAATGAGAATCTGATCATAATACAACCCTGCTTAAGATGTTTCAGTGTTCTCTTCTGTCCACAGAATAAATTCAAAAGTCCCAGTATGACATAATTGGCTTTCCTGAGCCAGTCTCTCCAACCCTCTATCCTAGGAAGCCACCTTCACCCTTATACACCAGCCATTCTGAGATATTGTAGGGGTCTCACGAGGTGCCTGTGTCTTATCTCACAGTTATTACCCATACTGTGCCTTCTACTTACTCCATCCTGGATCACCTCTTCCTCAAGATGAAAATATATCTACCCCAAGATTCTCTGACTTCTACCAAATGTTTCCCAGTCTACTTTGTGCGCCTTATATATAAATCAGACCACCTTTAATTATATGAAACAATCATTGTTGAAAAGTCCATCTTCATCCATCAGACTTTGGTCTCGTTAAGAACCATATCTTAAGTACCTACGGAATGCTACCTCTAAATGCAGCACTTAGAACATATCTGGTGCCCAGTAAATGGTAAATTAACAGATGTCTTCTCAGAAGCCCCAGGCACACACAGCTCTCCCTGAGAACTCAAAATGTTTGAAGCCTTCTCCAGAGGTGGTCAATTGTAACTGTTCCTCCAAAGCCCCAGGCCTCAGGAACAATATATAAATTCAGCAAATCCTTCCGTTGCTTTAGACTAGCCTAAAGTAATAAGGGAAACCATAAGGGTCTGGTTTAGCAAGGACATTCTTAATGTAAACAAGGAGAAAGGAGGCTGAGAGTTCATATTAACTAAAATAGAACCAATAAGTAGGGCAACTGCAAATTACCATGGGCTCTTCAGACCATTCCAAACAAAGTTCATGGGTTACCTGGTAGCGAGAATTAGAAGTTCTAAATAGGGTAAAGCCGAACTGGTAAAAAGGATAAGATTTTCTTTATTTATTTTATTTTATTTTTAAGATTCTATTTATTTATTCATGAGAGACATAGAGAAAGAGAGAGAGAGAGAGGCAGAGACACAGGCAGAGAGAGAAGCAGGCTCCATGCGGGGAACCCGATGTGAG